TGGTTCCCACAGAGGTTGGTAGAAAATAATAAAAATACTTAACATTCCTGCACCCTGTATAATGGCGGTGGCCTTTTAATGCAGCGCTGGCATTGCTGGAGGGAAAAACAACTTTCAGCCCCTGAATGCACCACCCTGTGTGAAACAATGACCATTGAAGTGTCATACACATTTTCCAGCACTTTTTTGATCTACTACTACTAAAGTCTCTCCCTGTGCGACTGCAATGTTCCAACCAACTCTTGATCTATGGTTGGAAGGAGTGAATGGAGCTCAGTTGGAGGCGGTACATGAGGTCCCAACACTGTTTGTTTTTCCAGAAATGACTATTTGTTTCATTTGAACGGAGAGAAACTCCTGAGGGCAACGAGAGTGTCTCTGCAGATAAGAGACACCGACTCTGTTGCCATTCACTTGAGTGATAACCTCAAGGCCATATGACACAGCCTCCATGCTCAATGGTAATTTTCTGTTGTCACAACACCACCACCATACACATGGTTACATACACTCAAAGTGCATCGCAGTTCATTTTAAATGGTTCTGATGCTGCCGTTTTACATTTCCCAAGGCATAACAAGGAGGGCTTCCATTATATCTTTAATCCAAATGCATAATCTTTTTGGATTTTATAATTGATTCATTGCATTTATGGGTTTCAAAGTCATAAAGTATGAATCTGAGGTTTACAGAATGATCTCAACACCGTCAATTGCAGCCCAGGAACCACTTTAACATCACAATAGCGGCACTTGTTACTACCAATAAATTGTGTTGTTGTGACATCAAAACCTTACAGGGATTGAATTCGGGCTGTGCGGATTGACCGTTTTGATATTTAACAGTATTTATATATAACCTATCCTGCTTGAAAATAAAACATGGGAATCTCACTTTAAATGTCGTTGTACCTCAATAAGAGGACTAAAAACAGAGTACAGCTGAGGTTGATGAGAAATAAAACATTAGTGCTGCAGACATTAACTGATAAACCAAAGTCACTACTTTGACCTGATGATGGCATAAAGTATGACATATTATGGATATTATGGCAGCAACTTCCGACAAGTCAACCACAATGGACAACAATATCAAAACCAAATTGTTAAAATGCAGAGATATTTGAAAATCTCAAAGTCACTATGGCACTGGAAGGAGTCATTGTCGCTAGTCGATATTCGTTTCAATATGAATTGTGATGGTCTGTTTTTAATTATGTTGAGCTGACCTCAGCATATTTAAATGCATGTATTCAAAAGGTCAGTGTTGAATAATATGGGATTAACGTGTACTGTCCCCTTATTAATAAACAAACATGCATAAACTTATAATGGCACTCTTTAAAGCTTAATAGCCAAGGCTTGTCTGCCTTAACTAAAGAGGGAAAGAAAAGTGTTGAAGCTCTTCCACTGTGTGCCAAAGTGTGTGTAGCAGTGATGAGGGAAGAACCTCCGTCATATCGCAGGTAGACCGTATTGATTTCCACAAACTGATATATTGGTGTGTTCTGAATGCAAGTGCACAAACCAATTCGCACACCTCCATCACCAAACACCACAAGAGCGTCCTGACTGATTGCTGTGTCCCATGCAGGTCCGCAGCTAAAACACACACACACACACACACACACACACACACACACACACACACACACACACACACACACACACACACACACACGGGACCCACTCTTCATCCTCAAGGTCAAGAGCTGCTGGGAGGCAGAGGCTCCTCAATGACGGCCTGATGGAGCTGACACCACGCGACCCATTGTACACACATGTTGATCTGTCCCCAGACGTGGCTTGACAGCGGCACATAAGGCCAACAACGCACGTTACCATCAATGCATTTCAATGAGAGGATCTCACCGTTCACGTTTGTGTGTGTGGGGCGAGAAATTTAGCGGCTGGGGGATTGTGACAAAGCTAAACACATTTGCAGGCCGGACAAGCCTCAGCCCTGTGGAGTATGTAATCCAAAACCAGGCCAATGATTATCTCCCCTCCCCGCGAGCGCTGACTCAATTCTGATTTATGATTGGAATGAATATCGATTTTCCAGGAGCTCTCCCCCCACCCCGCTCTTCCCTTCCATTTCTCCTTTTAACAAAAGAGTGAATGATGTATGTGCATTGATTTCCAATCAATTATTTTTATTCTCATTTTATTTAAGCTTGGACAAATTTTCAGTGGCACCCGCGGAGAGCGATGCATCTCTATCAACAGCGCTGTACCTCATTGCTAACTGGCCTTCTGATGGTAAGCAGGGAAATAAAGAGAGGGCGTTTAAATCTGAGTCCGTCATCTCTGCTTATACATTGTTAGGCAATAAATCTGACTCTGCTTCTTTTCTATGACACTTACAGGCAAATACATTAAAAAAATACCATGTCATTATGCACCATTGGCACTGTTAAGTATACTGTTGTTATGTACCAAACTTCGCCCCAAATGTGTAACTATGGTCTACCTATTTTTGTTAAAGTGGATTAAACAAACCTTCATTGCCTTCTTAGAATTGTGTTAATGCTTATTGAGTGGAGATTCCTTCTATAACCCTCTAAGGACTTTTGTTTCTTAGCTTTACAACTTATATTTTGTTGTATTTGAAGTTGTTTTACTCTGCAAACAAAACAAAATGCACCTGAGTCCTAGCCCTATTCAATTAAGACCATTGCATTTCTTTTTAATTAAGCAGATTTCTACTTATCTCCAACCAACAGCACTCAATAATTTACTCAAATGTATGACAAATGAAAGCAACAATACCTGTGAAATATTGGATTTTGTTTGCCTAATTTAAATGATTACCAAAATAGTTGACGATTATTCTTCCGAGCATCAAGTTCTCTGCTAATCTTTTCCGTTTCAGCTCCTGTAAAGCGTCCATAGAGGATGATGAACTCTGGGGAATAGCCTTGGTCTTTAAATATTCCCTGTACACATTATGGAAAACCATACAAGAGCTGGTCTCCAGAGCACCTAGGTTGCCCAGAAAAACCCCTTAGAACAACTCACTAATTGAGTTGACAGTGATGCATTAAAATGGGTCATCCTGGAATTGCTCTTTCCTGTGGCTACTGGCTGGGCAGGGATTACATAACGATGATAAAGCTGCGGACCTGGCTCTCCAAGATAAAAGCTGCCATGCAGGACCTCGCGCATTCTCTAAATGCTTCATCTGAGGCCTTCTGAAGGAAGTGATTACTGCCGAGCTGCCCACTAATGCTCCGGCGGGACCCGGCGTTGTACTCTGTTATTCATCAAACACAGACGGTGTAAGCCTTGGCAACTTTGGAAAATGCATAAATAATGAGTGTTATTGTGCAATGATAAGTTGAGGTGATAGAAGAAGTTTTTGAAATGGACTCTTCAAAGCAAAGTGTCCACTCAGTTCTACAGGGACTGAATGAATAGCCCCATTAGTGACATAAAAGCAGAATGGAATTCCTCAGCAGGGCCACTGAGGCCAGCTCCAGGCTTTCACAAGGCATCCCATCGCCATATGACTAAATCAGATGCTATGGGTGACAAATATGGCCTCACAGCTGAGAGCAGCACAAAGGACACTCAGTTGTCTGCTTGGGCCAGCAGCAGAAAATACTGCAACTCGTGAGACAATGTGGGACTTGTGTGGAAATGTTGTTTATCTCATCAGGCGATGGCGTGCCAGGTTCTGGTACGACTTCATTCTGTGAACTTATGGAAATGCAGCAGGAAGAGATGCCTCTGTGGCGCGCGAGTACTTCTGCAAAGAAGAAATGATTAGCATAAGTTGGGATGACGTAACAGAGTTGCAAATATGCGATGGAATGTTACTGGAATGAAGAGTCATTCATGAGGGACTAAAGCTGGGTATCACCAGACAATAGTGGAATTATGTAAGGTATAATTAAACTATAGTTTAAATGCTTCTAATTACTTTGTGTAATGTCAAAAGTATACAATACAAGCATAGAATTCCAATAAAAAAATAAGTTTATAAAAAAAGTTTTTACATTTTGCTTGTCTCTATTTTCTATCTCTAAATAAAAACAACAAACCTCCTTAAACCCTTGATTTTGTATATTTGAGGGAAAAATCAATTTTCAGTTGTAGCTTAAAGCTAATGTTGACACTAATTTGGGGTCATAAGTATATCTTCCCTTTTCTCAAAAAAAGGTTGCAAACCACTTCCCTGAAGAGGTTGCAGAGAAATTATTCTGGTCTGAGATGTTTTGGGAAATCACCATGTGTTTCTCCATGAATCATAATAACTAAACTGGGGTAAAACAAATCCTTTAACTTCTGGGAACTCCTTTGAATCTTAATCTGATAAAAGCTTTTTTAACTAATGGCAAGATGCACTTGTGAAAACCTTACTTAGCAGAGAGTGCAACTCTGGTCTTTTTCAGAACTAAAGCAGAAGTCTATATAAATTCAGTCAGAGAGAAGTGAGGGCAAATGCTTCCTCTAAAGGCATACGTGCGTTGATAACACATAATATCCTGCCATCCATTAGTCACTGTGTCCCAAGACATGTATTCAGTTGCTGATGTCAACATGCACTTCACCACAGTTACAGGCTTGGTGAACTCCTCTCCTTAAACAGCAGTGTTGCAAGTGCTACTTATGACAAAGTTACAGAGAGAGGGAGAAAGAGAGAGAGATGTTTTCCACTGAAGAGGAATAGAACTGTTTCGGCTCACAGGCGCTGTCTGTGGCGAAACACGTAGCCGACAGAAAAGACTGCACGGACAGAGAGCCCATCACTCGCTTATATACATGCCTATAAATAACCAACCAATCAGCGGCGAGACACTGGGAGTTAAACGCGCCAATTAAAACGCAGAAGGAACCAAATTAAATCAGAGGCCTGCCCAGATTGGTTGACTGTGATATCATTTGCAAGCCCTGACGCTGCTTGACGCTGATTGGCTCATCGGATGCAGGCGTAATCCTGCCGTGAGTAAGGGGGNGGGCGGGCTTGGAGGTTTGAATAGGGAAGTTTGCAGAGCGCAGTTGTTCCCCATCCAGTCCAGTGCAGTGTTTGCAAACACCTTGAACGCAGAGAAGAAGAAAAAGCAGAAGAAGGGGGGGACTGACGGACGGACGCTCGGCTGTAACACTGCTGAAAACGAGCACTTCTTTACGGGCTTGCATCGCAGGGGACCGCTCGGTTGTTTTTTTACAACACATTTAACTGCAGCTTAATATTTTTTAACCCAACTCTGGAAAATGGATGTTCTACCCATGTGCAGCATCTTTCAAGAACTTCAAATAGTTCACGACACGGGCTATTTCTCAGCCTTACCGTCACTGGAGGAGTACTGGCAGCAGGTGAATATACATTATTTTCAAAGAAGCGGAACTGAGACGCTTTGCTTTTATTTCATAGATTACACCGCAAAGTTAGTGACTCGCATCATAACGGTTGTAAACACCGCGCACATCCTTTCACCTGACGCGATATTTCACGATCGGTTCCCTTATGAAGTTTTCTGAAGTGGATCAGTGTGTCAGTCTGACAGCTGGAGTCGAGACTCTGCTCCTCCAAGATGAATGGGCACAGAGTAATACAAGCAGCGGCGTGCTGCGTTTACTGCCCTGCTATAGTTTGACTTCTCCTTTCATTGGCTGCTTTCAGGGCATGAGTGCTGGTTTCACTAGAAGGAAGTAGGATTTCAAACACGTCGGCAGTTAATTCAAAATGTTAGAAGCGCGTTGGCTCAGGATCAGCTCTAAATATGAGCCAATGATTTACTTTTTACAACATGATTCAGTCGGTCTGTTTTGCCACAGTCTCAAAACCAACATCAGCTTTCCATTTGATATTGTTTCAGCTTTATCATTTGTTTTTCTAAGCCATAATATCCTTAAAAACTCATCATTCTTGAATTTGAATGTGCTCCACAACATGGCACTATCAAATGTCAGCCAGGGCCAATTCCTGCTTGCATGAGTAGGCACTAGCACAGCTGGAAAATATGTTGTTGGGCTGCAGGAGCCTGGAGGGAAATATTTTCTTTTACATCTGCCCTGTCAAAGCTGCTGTCTAATGAATGGCCCCTTGCTTTTCAACTTAAATGGCCCTCTGAAGTCAAATATCTTGTGGAGTGGCTGCCACTGAGGAAGGATGTGATTGCATGTCATAGGTTTGCATGAGGAAAAGCATCTGCATGGCTCATGTTGGAGGAAGGAGGGGAGGGGGGGGAGTTGAGCGGCTTCCTTAAAAGGACTTTAGATTTGTTCAGTGAGTCATGCAAGTGTTGAAATGACAAAGCAAGTTTAGTGTTAGGCTGAACTCAGGTGCAGGAGGATTGGAGTTCAGAGAGGATGACAGATCAGGTCTGCTTACATGACATGAGGCCGAGGTGGGGGGGCACATGTGGTGATGTTTGAGATGAGCCCTTATTATGAAAAGCAGTAAATCAGTGACTCTAGGCATGTGCAATGCAAATACATTACATTTATTTTCGAGTTGATTCATATAAACCCAAGATAATGTGTTTTATTTTATTTTCTCAGAAACAATCAAAACCAAAGATAATGTCATTAAACATTAAATGAATGCAAACAAGCAGCAGAATCTTCTTTTGAGAAGCTGAAACCAGCGAATATTTGGCTTTTTTGCTTAAAAACGATTGATTATCTTTCCATCCATTAATCTTAACAGCTGTTATATCTAAACCTGCTCATTACAAGTATGAGCCTAAGAGTACACTAAAGATAAGTGCTGTAATTGCTACTATTTCCTGTTTAATGTTTCCTGCTGTAAGCACTTAACAAATATTACACCACACTAGGCATTTTGGGTATGTGCACATGCATCATTTAGAAGGGTTTCCCACACAGAAGCAATTTGCTGGTGTGAATGAAAATCCTCTCTTTAGGGTTTGTTGTAACTCGTTTTTTTTCAATCTTCTCATTCGACCAGACATGCTTGGAGTTGGAGCGCTACCTTCAGAGCGAGCCTTACGTCTCCACGGCAGAACTCAAGTTCGACAGCCAGGAGGACCTCTGGAGCAAGTTGATCTTGGTCTGCGGGGACAAGGCCAAGGCCGAGTCCGACCCAAAGCTGCCCGCGGCCCAGGACGAGGACAATCAGGACAGCCAAATCTTGGACACCAACAGTGTGAATTCTGACGCCAGCAGCGAAGCTTCAGACAGCTCTGAGGAGCTCTCGCCCACACACAGCTTTACCTCCAACCCTCTGGGCTCTGTCTTGGTTGGCTCTGGACCTTTTAGCCCATCCATCATAAGCACTCCCCCGTCCTCTCCGGAGGCCAACTCGGAGCCCAGTGTCGTGACTAACGGCTGGGTCAACACACATGCCGAGGCGCACTTGCCGGGCAAAATCAGGACCGGCGGGGTGGCAAAGAGTACGGAAAAGACGGGACTCAGTTGCGGGGACGCGTCCCCAGACGGCAGGAGGCGAGTGCACAGGTGTCACTTCAACGGCTGTCGTAAGGTTTACACAAAGAGCTCCCACCTAAAAGCACACCAGCGCACTCATACAGGTGAGATCCAAGCTCCTATCCAACCCTAGGTTACCAACATCATGACCACGTGTGATGAATGTAAACAGAAGGGTCTGCTCAGCTGTTCTCAAGCCAATTCATTCATAGTGTTTAAAACAGCGGATGGCGGAAGTGCTTTTAATTCAGTCTTCCACCTTAACGTCATTGTCCATCCATTGTGCAATGTAATTAAAGGTCCACATTGCATGGTGCCCTCAGCTGGAGCGCTGCGAGTATTAGCTCTGCATGGCTGGATACCTAAACTGTGACCTAATCTATCTGGAATGTGACTGACTGAGTGAGTGAGTGAGTGAGTGAGCGAGCAAGCGAGGGAGGGAGCGAACGAACAGGGGGGAGGGGTTGCACATGGGAGATAAAAGGACTTGAAAACAGATTGAGTTTCACCATGGGAAAGGGGTGAGGAGCCAGGGGGCACCGAGCTGGAAGGGCTTTGAATGGTCATTTGAGCGTTTCTTATTTTTGATTAAAAGCGTGAAATTGCACGTGTGTCTTTTTGACTTAATTTTATACATTTCACATGTTCGCCTACGCAGCATCGCTATTAGCATTCTTAGCATGTTTCAGGTGGTCGACAAAACCCAGCTAGTGATCAAACCGGTTCTGTGGAATCCGGGTCTCGAGTAACTTGTCAGCACTTATGTCATCTGCCCTGGCCCCGCACTGATTGATCTGAATGAATTTGAATGACAACAGCGCAGAGTCGACCAATCACAGCCTGAGCAGGATAAAAAAACATTCCTTTTGTGTTTGAGCTGAGTTAATCGCCCCTAATGTTTGTCCTGCAGGTGAGAAACCTTACAGGTGTTCATGGGAGGGCTGTGAGTGGCGTTTTGCACGAAGCGACGAGTTGACCAGGCACTTCAGGAAGCACACCGGGGCCAAGCCATTTAAATGCAGTCACTGTGACAGGTAAGCCAGCCACTTGTCTGAAGGAACGTCACTAGACTTCTGATAAGCCTTTAAGACAGAGCTGAGGCATGCACCACATTTCTCCTGATGTGATCTCCTATTCTTGCCTCATCTAGATAATGATGCATGTCTTTAAAGAACGGAAGCACTGATGCATTTTATTCAGGTAGCTAAGCATTAAAGCTACATGGATAAATCAGCCAGTATAAGCCTTGGTGTGAATGTTAGCTAAGACATTGCAAAACTAGGTTTGAGATCATCTACAAAGTGTCTCAATTGCATGCTTTGTTTGAAGGAGGTCATTCTGGCCTGTTCTCAGAAGGAATTTCATGCTTCCATTATGACAAAGCATGTGATCTAAAGGCTCAAATTCTTATCTATTGGTAATCACTGGAGCACAAAAGCTGTTTCAGTATCTTTTGTATTGATACTGACTTGCTTCTCCCCTTCCTCCACAGATGTTTCTCCAGGTCCGATCATCTGGCTCTTCACATGAAGAGGCACGTCTAGAGAAGGGCAAGCTCCAACCAAGGCGGAAAAAAGGGGAAAGTTTGGAAAGAAAAAAAACAAATGTCGTCTCCCGACCAGTCTCTTGGTTGAACTGTCCCAGAGCAGAGTGGCGGGAGTGTGTTCCAGCCAAAGCATGCCGTTTTGCACCATACTGAAACCCAGTGCCTCCGGGACCTCTCTTTGGAGAAAGGCGCTCTGAAAGGTTGTCTGTTGCAACGAAAAAGGACAAAATCATGGATGGGGAAGACATTTTTTTTGAGAAGGACACACACAAAAAAGACAAAAAAAAAAAAAAAGATAAATGACACACACAAACAAAGAGTGAATGATCTGTATGTATGGTGCATGATGTTTTTGGGGGACATCTCCCGGACAGCAGATACACTGGTACTTTACAAAACTGTCTGAGGTAAGCATGTGTGCACTGTGAATGTCTGAGATCGGCTGACTGGCCCCCCCTGAGAGGAGAGGAAGAGGAGAGGGGTTTTTTTTTTTGGAGTTGGATTGATGGATGGTGCGGGGCTGGCACCGATGTTGCTGTGGACTGAATGGGTTTCTGGGGGGAATTTGTGTTTCCCCGGTGGCAGTGTGAGGATGGGGCAGGGTGGAAGTTCCTGCCTGTCTGTCTGGCACCAAGAGGGGGGGGGGGTCTCGGAAGCTTTCAAAGCTTTTGACGCCTTGGGTTTGACTTTATAGAAGGAGGACGTGTCCCCCTTCTGGTCAGTGACCCAAAACACCCCCCACTCCCACCCGGTCACTGTATGACAGGAGCTTTTTTGGTGTTTTTGGTGCAGCTACTAAATGTGCAATGTGTTATGTAGCCTGGTTTATTATTTTTTTACAAGCTACAAAGCTCTATTTGTAGTCCAATTGTATAAGCTGTGTGCTTAGAGTTATAACACAACTATACTATAACTTCAGTATCATAGACAGGTGTTGCATGGTTCTAGGGTTTGTTCATTTCATGTTTCCACTGTAATCAGGACTGCAAATAGTTTGAATAAAAGTGCAGCTAAAGTGCGGACGGTTAAATGTTACAATATTGTACATAAAGCCTTGATGATTTCCCTCTTCTTTTATTCTTTCATCCGTTTCTTCATCCGGCTGGAGACTTCACCACTGCTTACTCATTCTCTCATTCATCCTATGCCTTGAGGAGTAATTTTGATTTACTTTTTTCATAATAATGCACTGTTGACCTTAATGGTGCCTTATGCAAGTGACTTAGCCCTGTGGTAGCGGTGGTTTTGCTCCCCGTGGAAGTCACATTTGTTATATGGGTGATTTGAAAAGCTTGATCAAGGCTCAATTACGCATTAACTCGCACCTCTTTGTGTTTAATGACCGCTGTCCGCATCTGTTCTGACCATTAATCGCGTTGCTAAAAAAAAATCTTCAGATAAAAGCACTTTTCGAGTCGGAGCGCCAGTTATCACATTCAATCAAGTCAGAACATGTAAATATGTTTAGATCACTTAAATTCATTTATTAAAAGCTACTGTGTAGTTTGTAGTCCAGTCCATCACACACAGCTCGAAGGTACAAAACAACCAGACTAGGGAAACAAATGTGTGCAGTGCTGCTCCTTTTTCGCAGTCTCCCTCCCCACCATCTCCAACACCATCATCCCCCCCCCCTTCTGTCCCTCCATCTCTGCAAGTGGGACTGAAGAAAAAGCTAAAGATTTATTGTAATTAACAGGCTGCAGTCGGACAGGCCTCGCCTTGTACTGCCTCTCAGTAATGAATTGCTAAAGGCTTTGTTGGCATGGAATCTGTCACAGACTGCTGACTGTGTAGGTTGGTTATTGACCTGTCTGGGGAGCGTTGTTTTAGCCAAGCTGCAACAGTATTATCGAAACCACAGGAGCGAGCGATGGGGGGGCGGGGGAGCAGATAAAGATCAAGCGTGCACATGGAAGTTGGACAAAAAAACAATGACAGTATCACCGTTAAAGGTGGATCTGTTATTGGATGTGGAGTGGGACCAAACCATAGTCATTGTAGGGTTTATACTTATTACTGTTTCAGGAAAAAAGTGCCACCCACTCCAGATCACTGCTGTAGAAATTCGATGTTGCAGCAAGACTTATGGATTTCAGATCAGCGAGTGAAAGAGACAAGATGAGTACAAAGTTGAAACTCCTTGCTGCGATAGATGTGGGTAGTGCTGGCAGTGCCTTTTTTTTTTTGTGGGCAAAAAGGAAAGGAACATCCATTCGTTGCAAACGGCAGCCAATACTTTTCAAATGGTAATTGAGCCTTGATTAAGCCCTGTGTTTGCTCGCATCTTTTTCCATCATTCGCCTTCATCCCACTACCCCAACTTCTTCTGTCACACACACAGATCTTTGTTCTCAACTGAATCTTTGTATAAAAAAAAAAAAAACTTTTGTAAAATTGTTATGTTTATGCTTTATGACATTTTTATTTGAAATTGTTTTGCAAAATTGTTATATTTCTGTATGAATGTATTTTTTATTGGAATAATAAGAAATTCTTATCTGACTTTGGCTTGCTTCCTTTGTCTCATTTGTTGATTCTCCTCAGTTCTGCCTGATTATTGTGAAGGCTTTTTCTTTATCTGTGGGAGGTTTGCAGCGTGCTGAGGATGAATTGCTACATTTCTGCTGCAGTAATATTGACACAATGAGATTAGTGTTAGTGTGTGAGCACCGGGGGCACATATCTGACATTTAGAATTTATCACTTAAAAATAGAATTTCCACTTTGTGCAATATAAATTCTTTGTTTACCTGCTAGAAGCTCTAAATGTCCTCACCTCATCCTGCCTTGTAAATACCAGCATGAAAATGTCCCTCCCTCGAACGAGCAAATTATATCTTTGCAGAAACCGGTTGCTAAACAGAGAAACCTGACGCTCCCAGTGGCAAACACTTATTTTTCCCCAAACACCCCCTGGAAAAGTTTCTATAAAAGCTCACTGCAGTGTTTTCAGTTCTAAAAGCGACTGACTGCTCGCTCCTTAGAGCTAGCTAGCTCTCATCAAAGCAGTATAAATAATTTATCTCCATCTCTTACAGCCCTTGGCATTTAATTAGAGAGCAGCTTTTATACATTTGTTAGATAATTACTCTACTTGACATAGATAATGATACAAAACAGCAGTGGATAAACCAAAGAGCTGAGTTTAACTCACAAACTAACAAGAAAACAAGATTTAAAAGGGTCTTCCTCTCTGCTCCCCTGTTTACGGTGATGACCTAGAATGGGCAGGCAACTTATTAGCTCCTCTGATTTCCAGTAAAAGCCCTGTGGTTTATAAATGAATTTTTTCGCCTGCAGTTGGTTATTAAGCTTGCTTTGGAGAACCTCCCAGCTTTGGAGTCGCAAAGAGTGTTGTTTTTGCCTCAAATGCTACATCTCCTTGATCCCTCAAAACTGCTGCCCTGCTTGATTTCTCATCTTCAAATCTACCTAGGATACAGAGAAAGGCAACCAGCGAGCCCAAACTCTTCACTGGACCTGCTCATAAAACTCTGCAGGCACATGTTGCATATCATTTCCTTGCAGATGACTCACATCCTCGCAATAGTGGGACATCCTCTTGTGAAGTGGACCATCATGTGTACAAGTTCTCGTAAAATGTGGATCACATATTTGCTTTGATGTGTCCAGACTTCAAATCCTCCGTATGCTTTCCCACATTGATATTGTAACACAGTCTAAAACCCCAAGGATTAAGGGAACCAATTCATCATTTCTAGATGTCACACATTTTATCTTAACGTCTCAGGGGAGCGCATAAGATCTAGGGTTGTGTCCTATCGCAATGTCACAGTTTGGAAAGATTTATTTAATGGCTAGCCAGTGGACGAGAGAAACCAAAGATGTTAAGTACGTCTTTTAGAGGTGCTTGTACTGAAGTGTTTGGATTTTTCTTTTCTTTCCATTAATCATCCAACAGCCCTTTAGATGTATCTGGAGACTGTTGGGATTGGCCCTAATCCTAGGTTGGGGAACATTGGAATAAACCATCAAACTGTATAGGTCAAGAGGTATAAACTATCTACTTAAAGTTATAATGCCTTGAGTTTTTCATAAAATCCAACTACATGTTTATGGTGATGTTTTCTTCTTTGCATAATCATTCAACATACTTACATTCAGTAATCACCTCTAATCGTTTTTATTGGTGGAGAACGGCTGAATCTGAGCAGAGAGGATTCACAGCTCTGCCTGAATGTAATCAAGCATAATTCAATTGTACATTCTCTTTGGAGGAGACTCAACCCCTAGGTTGGGATAAAGCGTACAATGTACTTAAAAGTAGCTTCACCTCCAGCAAGTACAACAGTAAAATGATGCTTACACATTGACTCATCAGTACTTCAGTCAATACTCGCATTTAAAAAGGGCATAGAACTTTACTTGTAAAAGGTATTTTTTTTGTATTGTGCTATTGCTACTTTCACTTATGTAAAAGATACGAGTGCTTTTTCCACCTACCAGGTAACTGCCCTGTCTGGGTCCCAGACTAATTTGATTAAATGCAAATTTATCAGGAAAAAGGACCATCTAATATCAACCGAGAAACGCTGTAAGAGAACCGTTCGGTTCAGGCATTATTTTGTACTTGTAGTGTGACATAACTGAAGTACAATATACATACTAGTTGTATTGTGGTGTTTTTTTTATTTTTTTAAGGTTAGTTTTTTTTTTTAAATGATTTCCATATGCTTTACCTGGCAGGCTATTTGAACAATAATGAGACACCTGAGGACGGACCTGAGATGCATCACGTAGACAGACCTAATAAAGACTCGTCACGTGGTGCGGCTGGAGGAGACAGCGTGGGGCATTCAAGCACCGCCTTCTCGACCAGGAAGAGCGTGCTGGCAACTTCATACGGTTTCCCCCGGTGTATGGCGGCACTCCGCCATGCCATAGCCTCTGTTAGAACACATCCGCGTTCTGGACACCGTCTTCGCTGCAAGAGCTCTTTCCTTGCTCTTTTATTTGTCACGGCCTTGTTGAGGATGGCGCATTTGTCAGGCTTGAAGGTGAGCTTTCAGTGTTGGAGAGCTTGGCAGAGATGAGCTCCATCAGCTCATCGATGTACTTGCTGGAGGTGGAGCGTTATGTTTTCTCCTACACTCCTCGTCTTCAGCGCGTATCAGCCCCTGATAGTCAGCTTCAAATGCTTGACCAGTAGTCAGTAGACCCTAGTAATGCTCCATTTAGTGTCTAGTGTCACTTTAATGTCTTACGCATCCTACACACAGTTCCGTTGGAAGCTTCAACAGAGACGATTCCCATTCACTTGGGAAGTGCATGGTGTGCATTGTGTGGCTTCACTTTGCCTGCGTTGCTCGCGGTGAAAGTTGAGAAAAGTTCAACTTTTCAAGCGTTGACGGAAGAGCCAGCCAATCAAATCATATGCCAGGACATGCGCTAGCCAATCAATCAAAAACACACCCTAGACCCAGACGTCCTCTGTAACTACAGGCCTATCTCCAACCTCTCATTTCTAGCCAAGGTGCTGGAAAAAGTAGTTGCCGCCCAGCTTCAGGACCATCTCCAACTAAACGTCCTCTTTGAGAAATTCCAGTCCGGTTTCCGTTCCGCCCACAGCACTGAAACAGCTCTGGTCAGGGTCACAAACGACCTGCTGATAGTGGCTGACACTGGTTCCCCATCTCTCCTCATCCTCCTGGATCTGACTGCAACATTTGACACTGTCAACCATAACATCCTCCTTCAGTGCCTCCAATACACCATCTCTGACTCCGCCCTGAGCTGGTTCCAGTCCTACCTGTCTGGAAGAACAGAGTACGTCTCCTTGGGAGGTGCGAGGTCCCAGACACACCCTGTCACCCGTGGTGTCCCTCAAGGGTCGGTCCTCGGGCCCACTTAGTTCACCCTTTACACTCTGCCCATTGGCCGTGTCATCAGCCAGCATGGAATATCATTCCATTGCTACGGTGATGACACGCAGCTATATATAAAGACAGACCCTATCCAACATGCATCCTCACTGTCACCATCATCATCACCGTTCCCATCAACATCCTTTAACACCTGGATTGAGGAGATAAAGGCTTGGATGCGACAAAACTTCCTGCAGCTTAATAGCTCCAAAACAGAGGCTATTTTAGTTGGCACACCAAACCAGGTCCAGTCATCACCCATAACCCACATCACCTTTTCTGGCCAAAACATACCCCTCTCCACAGCAGTTACCAATCTGGGTGTAAAATTTGACCGACATCTGACCTTTGACACCCACATCAAACACCTGTGCAAAACCTCCTTCTACCACCTCAGGAACATTGCAAAACTCCGTCCTACACTCTCCTTGTCAGATGTTGAACAACTGGTCTGTGCCTTCGTTTCCTCAAGGCTTGACTATTACAACGCTCTCCTCATCGGGACTCCTAGCGGGAGCCTTCAGAAGCTCCAATACGTACAGAACAGTGCCGCTAGGATCCTGATGAGGGTGAGACAGTACAACCACATCACACCCGTCCCCTATTGTCTCCACTGGCTTCCTGTCTCATTCAGGATCGAATACAAGATCGCACTACTCACCCATCAGTGCATCCACAGGAATGCTCCTTCATACCTCAAATAACTACTCACATCACAAACCTCCAGACGCAACCTCCGTTCCACAACAAACCATCTGCTTCGCCCCCCCCAGGACCAAACTCCGCACAAAGGGGGATCGGGCTTTCTGTGCACCTGCTCCTCACCTGTGGAATTCACTCCCAGACACACTGAGGACTCCACAGACCACTAACGCCTTCAAGAAAGGCCTAAAAACCTTTCTTTTAAAAAAAAGCCTTTGATTAAACCTTTGTTTCTTTTGTTTGTTTCTTACGCCTCCTGTAGCACTTTGGGATTGCTTTTTGCAATGAAAGGTGCTTTACAAATACAATTTATTATTATTATTAAACCGCGTGCGGGAGATTGATGTGATTGGTTGTTGGTCGCGTTAACCCCAAGCGCCAGACACGCCCACCGGCAAGCGTCGATGCGACAGAACCGTGTGTAGGTTGCGTTAACATCTCCGGCTTCAACGCATTCATTGAGTACAGCAGTGTCTTTTACACCTTTACAAACTCTCCACCATCTTCAGCAGGACCGTGTTTGCTTAAAACACTCCAATAATATTGATACAAACAATACTACAAGTAATATTCAAATATTATAAATAAACATGCGAAAACTAGCTTCTTGTTTACCCTTTGTGACGTACGCACAGTGTATTTCAAAGTGTTTGTGCATGCTATATAGTGAGCTCGTGACAGAGAAGAGATAAATGCCTGTTATTCACTGTCCTCTGAAAGCTGTGCTCTGTCCACATCAGTCGTATCAGTGAATCTCAGTGAACGTGACTATCTCTCGCTGCATAATTGCAAAGGG